GAGGGGGGGGGAGGAGCTCGCGGCTCATTGGACAATACAGTCCCAGTTCCGAGGCGCGCGCCAGGCAGCTGAGGAGCCTGCTCTTGCTGCGCGCTGCTCTGGCTCCAGGCCCGTATTGGCCCTCTGCCGTTGCGGGTCTGCGCGCCTGTCTTGGGAGCTGCTCCTGGCGCTGCCTCTGCTGATGACGTCGAGCCCCAGCTTCGGGCGTGGCCAGGAAAAACGACGCTCCCTCGGGGCCCGCCCCCACCCCTCGCTCACCGCGGGCGCGCGGGGGGCCTCCTGCACTGCAGCTGCAACCGCGAGGGAGAGACGCAGTGGCTGTGGAGGAGGGCAGGGGACGTCAGTGGCAACGCTGGCGGCAGCGCAGCCCGCGAGGGCGCCAGCATCATCGCCAGCGCCTGCGCTGATCACACCGACCTATCGCAAGTGCGTGCGCTGACTACGTCGGGCCCAGTGACGCCCGACACCTACCTAAAGCCGCTCCCTGACGGCTTGAAGAGCGAGACTCTGAAGGCCGCCGGGAGGAAGTTCGCGGACCTGACGTCCGACACCTACCTGCAGCCTCTCCTTGGCGTTTCGGCGAAAACCCATTTTTCAATAATATTTATTTACGTAACAAAAAGAGAGGGAGCCCGTGGGCAGCTCGCCCGACGTCTGCCTGAGGATCCTCCCTGGCGTGGGTCTTGGAGGCCCTGCTGACTGACCATCGAGACGAGGTCTGTGGACCAGACGTCCGTCAAATCCTTGAGGCCTGCCCTAGGCGGGCCAATGGAGGAGGCCCAGAAGGCCGTTGAATAGGAGTCCGTGGACCGAACGTCCGACACCTATCTAAACCCTGTTCCCCGCAGGCTGGGCCGAAACGTCTCGGTGGAGGCGGTCCTACTGGCGGTTAAGGGGGAGTTCGGGGACCAGACGTCCGTCATCCTCGTCCTGGCGCCCTTTGGAGGAGGCTCTGGGATGAGACTCGCGCGGACTGCCCGCGGCAGGCGCGGGCAGCCACCCACTCAAGTTGGTCGCGGCGGGCGCCGCCTCTGGGGGCCAGCGGGGTCGCCTCAGGCGTCGCTGCGGTGGGCTGCCGCGGACCTCGGCTGGTGGGGGTCAGCTGGCAGAAATGAGCGGGGGGGGCTTGGATGTCCTGTCCCGCAGGATAGTGCCAGAGTGGTGCTGCCACAGCAAGCCCGTCTCCTAGCACCACTTCCTTTGTTAGTGCTGTTGATGTGGTTGTGGTTGTGGTTGTGGTTGTGGTTGTGGTTGTGGTTGTGGTTGTGGGTGTTGTGGTTGTTGTGGTTGTGGTTGTTGTTGTTGTTGTTGCTGCTGTTGCTGTTGCTGTTGCTGTTGCTATTGCGGTTGTTGTTGTTGCTGTTGCTGTTGTTGTAGTTGTTGTTAATGTTAATGTTGTTGTTGTTGTTGTTGTTGTTGTTGTTGTTGTTGTTGTTGTTGTTGTTGTTGTTGTTGTTGTTATTGTTGCTGTCGTTGCCGTCGTCGTTGTCTTGGTTGTTGTTACTGCTGCTGTTGTTGCTGCTGCAGTTGCTGCTGTTATGTTGGTGGTGTTGTTGTGTTGCCGTTGCCGTTGTTGTCGTCGTTGTTGTTGTTGCTGTTGTTGTTGTGCTGTTTCTTTCATTGTTCTTGTTATCGTTGTTGTTTTTACTATTATTGTTACTGTTGCTGTTGTTGTTGCTGCTGTTGTTGGTGTTGTGGTTGTGGTTGTGGTTGTCGTTGTTGCTGTTGCTGTTGTTGCTGTTGCAGTTGCTGTTGTTGTTGTTGTTGTTGTTGCCGTCGTTGCCGTCGTCTTTGTCTTGGTTGTTATTGCTGCTGCTGCTGTTGCTGCTGCTGCTGCTGTAGTTAATGTTGTGGCTGTTGTTGTTGTTGTTGTTGGTCTTGGTGTTGCTGTTGTGGTTGTTGTTGTTGCTGCTGCTGTTGTTGGTGTTGTGGTTGTGGTTGCTGTTATTGATGTGTTGCTGCTGTTGTTGTTCTTGTTGTTGCTGCTGTTGCTGTTGCTGTTGCTGTTGCTGTTGCTGTTGCTGTTGCTGTTGCTGTTGTTGTTGTTGTTGTTGTTGTTGATGTTGTTGTCGAACATTATTAATTCTAAAGAATAATTATTGTTGGGGCCCCTGGTGCACGGCCCCCCTGCGCCGCCTAGGCCGCAGCTACATTTTCATCATTTTCGTGAGGAAGCCTCAGGTAATACGATGTCATCAAGATCCGGTTGTTTTGTTGTAATCCGCTTTCCCTTGCAAAAAACACTATAAAATGACATTTCTTGTTCTAATATAATCAAATTTCAAGAATCCCTTGCAAAAAATAAGGTAAAGTGGACATTCGCGCGCGCAAGACGAAATCCTTCCAAAAGCTTAGTGTTCGGAGCGATTTTAACATAAAAACATCAAAAAACCAATGGTTTTTCAACAAAAAAATGTCAAAATCTCATCCCGCGCGCTCTTGCGGATTCGTAGGAAACCCAACACTTTTTAAACATTTCTGTCAAACGGGCTTTTGCGAGCAACTTTTTCGAACTTCTGCGACAACGGTTGCGCACCTGCCAGGGCCATCATCCCTGTCAAATAATACCATGCGGGACACATTCGTTTTTTCTTCGCGCGCGCACGCCGTCGTCGTCGGCCGCGGGGCCCTGAATAGTAGCCACGGTCGTCCGCATGCCACGAAGTGAAGTGTCCGAACGTCATAGGGCGGGAAGCTGGGTGTGGGTGGTGGCGAAGAGTCGTTTGGAAATTTGGTAGAGCTTGAACCGGCCCCCCCACAAAGTGGGGGTATTGCCCGCCTCCTATGAAAACCCTGGCACTGGTGAGAACGGAGTGTCCCCACGTGCTAGTAATTGTTGTTGAACATTATTAATTCTAAAGAATAATTATTGTTGGGCCCCCTGGTGCACGCCCCCCCTGCGCCGCCTAGGCCGCAGCTACATTTTCATCATTTTCGTGAGGAAGCCTCAGGTAATTCGATGTGATCAAGATCCGGTTGTTTTGTTGTAATCCGTTTTCCCTTGCAAAAAACACTATAAAATGACATTTCTTGTTCTAATATAATCAAATTTCAAGAATCCCTTGCAAAAAATAAGGTAAAGTGGACATTCGCGCGCGCAAGACGAAATCCTTCCAAAAGCTTAGTGTTCGGAGCGATTTTAACATAAAAACATCAAAAAACCAATGGTTTTTCAACAAAAAAATGTCAAAATCTCATCCCGCGCGCTCTTGCGGATTCGTAGGAAAACCAACACTTTTTAAACATTTCTGTCAAACGGGCTTTTGCGAGCAACTTTTTCGAACTTCTGCGACAACGGTTGCGCACCTGCCAGGGCCATCATCCCTGTCAAATAATACCATGCGGGACACATTCGTTTTTTCTTCGCGCGCGCACGCCGAAATCTCCAAAAACCATTGGGTTCTTAAGAATTTTAGCACCGCGCATCATAAAATCACACGAATCGCACCGTAGGTCCTCGAAAAACACCTGCACGACTTTTCAAAATTTCCACCCGCGCGCGCTGTCCGAATCCTAAAAAAACCAATGGTTTTCCAACATTTATGTTACATGAGCTCGCGCGAGCTACTTTCGCACGCTCTTGCAACGGGGTTCGCGCGCCTGCCAGGGGCCAGAATCCCTTGCGGTTGCGCCATAGGTTGCGCCCTCGGCCGCCGAGAATAAAACGCCCCCCTATTGGTTGCGTCATAGGTTGCGCCCTCGCCTTCTCTCTCTCAGTGTCTGTACCATGTCTAGCACTGGTAACAAAGGTATTTGTGTATCCCCACATCCGCCCAGGAATTCCACAAATGTGACCAACTATCTTGCGAGTACGTATCATCTCATGTGTGTCGTGCACACTATCAAATGTAACAGAGTTGTGTATTCCCATCATCCCAGGAACTTGACCCAAAAATGTGACCAACTCCGCTCTCTCTGTCTCTCTCTCTGTCTGCTCTCTGTCTCTCTCTCTGTCTCTCTGTATTATGTATTGTATGGCACAATTGCACCATGCTGGGCACATGCGCGCCCCGAATAAGTGACCAAGTTCTGTGGGTGTGTACCCCACGCCAGTGTAGTAGCCACGGTCGTCCGCACGCCACGAAGTGAAGTGTCCCAACGTCATAGGGCGGGAAGCTGGGTTTGGGTGGTCGCGAAGAGTCGTTTGGATATTTGGTAGAGCTTGTAATGCCCCCCCACGAAGTGGGGGTATTGCCTGGTGTCGTATGAAAACCCTGGCACTGGGGAGAACACCACGCGTTCGGGTAAAATGATTGTTGTTGTTGTTGTTGAATTTTCACGACCGAAGAGTAAAACATATTGTTGACCCCCCCTCGGGTGCACATCGTTTTTTCAATTGAAGTGCCCCTTCCGGCGCTCGCACCCTGTTTTCTATCAGGGAAAGTCTTCCTCCTCAAACTGTGTTGTTGGCCCCCGGGTTACAACAACAACGGCTCCCGCATGAGACACCCTCACAATTTTGCCAGGGCCCCCGCTCCCGCCCGAGACGTCCTCGCATTTTATTCAGGAATCGCGCTCTCGCTTACAATTCATTCACGAGTCGCTCTCTCGGCGCTCTGGAGTCGCGCTCGCGCTGGTGACTTGCTTGCAATTTACTTAAGAATAGCGCCCTTGCGTTGGAATTGCCCGCAATTTACTCAAGCGCCGCCATCCCCACATTTAAGCACCCAGGAGTCGCGCTCACGCTCAGGACTTCCTCACAGATTACTTTCGAATCGGGATCTCGCTGGCCTTCGTGGCCCCGTTGCAGCCCTTCGTGGCCCCCTCGCTGCCCTTCGTGGCCCCGTTGCACCCGTTCGTGGCCCCCTCGCTGCCCTTCGTGGCTCCGTTGCAGCCCTTCGTGGCCTCCTCGCTGCCCTTCGTGGCCCCGTTGCAGCCCTTCGTGGCCCCCTGTCGTCGAGTTGATCTTGTCGAAGCCAGCGTTCCCACAGTACGTTTGCATGACGACGCCCGATAGCTCATGTTCTCATGTTGTGGCCGCTCCTCTTCCACTGTAACTAGCGTTTTTTCGGCTCAAGGAACACACTGGCCCAGCGCAGGGTACGAACTTTGCGCTCCTTCGCTTTGAGTGGCCAGGCGTGCGGCCTCAGCATGAGTGCTCCGAAGCCACGGGGTGGCTCGCAGGGTGTGCCCGCTGCCTCGATGGGTCCACTCGTTGCGGGCTGCGCAGTGGTGACAACGGCGGCCGTCGCACTGCGTCAAGCGCCGGCCTCCGCCTTCGCTGTGCTGGGCGAGCAGGCGATGGCGCAGCCGACGCCGCGCGCGCCCGCGCAGCAGGGCCGTTTGCAGGCCGAGGCGGTGCTTCAGCTTCCGCAGTCGCCTGCACTGGCATCGCCCCCAGCGCACGACCCGGGAATGCCCTCGCTGAGGCCCCTCGGCATGCTGGCGTGTGGCGCCGCCGCGGCGGCCGGCGCAAAGGGCGTGCTGCGCCGCCGGGCCCGCGCAGCTCGCGCTCCGCCGCGGCGCCACGGTGCCCGCATCATCGCCGGCGGCACCAGTGCAGTCTCGGCGTTCACCGTCCCTCTCCGGGGCTCCGCGCCAGCGACGCTCGCCGGTCGCGAGAGGCCCAGGGCACCCATGCCGCGGAGCCGCGCGGCCCTTCGCGCCGCAGAGGATCCACAGCTGCTGGAGGCCGTGGCGCAGCTGCGCCTCGTCGCGGACGCGCTGGGGCCACAAGCGGCAGAGGCCATGGCTCGGGTGCCCCACGAGCTCCTGGCGCTCTTGGGCCCGCCGCAAGCGGCCAATGCCTTTGAGCTGGACGGCAATTCGGCCCTGAAGTCGGTCTCCGAATTCTTCTTCGACCCACGGCTCCAGTGGGACGAAAACGGGAACATCCTGAAGGATCCTCAGGGGAACGACTTGCCTGACAACTTGTGGACTCAGTTCGTGGCGGTGCAGGCAACCCTCATCAAGAGGCTCGACCAGGCAATCCCAGACTTCATCCCGGGCTCTTTCGGTATTGCCGTGGCGCTGTACACACTGCTGGTGCGCGTGGCCCTGTACCCTTTCATCAAAGGCCAGCTGGAGACTACCGCCAAAATCCAGGTGCTGGCGCCGCGCGTCAACGAGCTCAAGGAGAAGTATAAGGATAACGAGGAGAGGATGCAGCAGGAGGTGGGCATGCTCTACATGGACCTGCAGATCGACCCTCTTGCCGCTATCCTCCCACTGCTTCTGCAGCTGCCTATTTTCTGGGGCCTGTACCGTGGTGTGCGCCGTCTGGCGATCGTCGAGTACGAGCCACTGAAGGAGAGCTTCCTGTGGATCCCCTCGCTCTACGGCCCCAACTTCAAGCCCGACCCGAGCTTCGACTGGATTATGAATTGGAAGGGTCCGCTGATCGAGCTCGCGCCCAAGATCGGTTGGGAGAACTTCCTCCTATATGCCATCCTGCCGGTCGGAGTCGTCCTCGGCTACAGGGAGGTGCTGAAGGACAGCTTGAACGACGAGAAGAGCCCCAAGATCCTGCAAATATTCCCTTTCTTTCTGGGTTTTATCTGCGTGGAGCTACCGCAGGCCATGGGCATCTACATCGCCATGAACATGGCCTCCTCCGTGGCGCTCACGAACTACACGAAGAACAGCATCGCCGCGAGGATACCTGGCTACCAGGAGTTTGTGGACACGGGCAAGTGGCCGCCTGGAGTTGACCCCGAGAAGGTCCTGGCGAAGGCCTTCGGCGTGCAGCGCCTCACCACGGACGGCGACTTCGAGGACCCTGCCACCGTACCAGAGGCGGTGTTCGCGGGGCGCGCTGATTATATCCCAACGCTGCTGGAGCAGGGGCGCAAGATCGACGAGTACGACAACAGGGGTATCCCAGCGAGTGCCTACACGCTGGCGCTCGACAACGAGGACCTCTTGATCCGTCTCTTCGAGTTGGGTGCGGACCCGTTGGTTCTCGACCAGAAGAAAAACTCGCTGCTGCACTACTGCTGCGGCTACGGCCGGTCGCAGTTCCTGCCAACTCTTCTGAAGTGGGGTGCCGAGCCGCTTCTGAATCAGCCCAACGACGAAGGCCAGACGCCGCTGGACGTTGCACGCATGAACCTGTCCCAGTCCAAGGTAGCAGACGATTGCCGCAGAGCGATCAAGCTGCTGCAGGAGAGGGGCGCCGAGGGCAAGACGACTACGCAGGCGGACGAGGAGAAGTTTGAGAAGGCGCGGGAGCAGAAGGAGCGCGAGGCGCAGGTCAAGAAGGCGAAGGCCGCGCTGATGGCTCTTGCGAAGAACGCCGGCCCAGCCCCGGAGGCTGGCGTGCCCGTCGCGCAAGCAGAGGCGGCCGGGGAGACAGATGCGCCCGCGACGGAGCACAGCGGCAAATCTGCCATCCAGGCGTCCCTGCAGCGCGTGAAGAGCCTGGACGTCGAGGCCATCAGGGAGAGATTGGGCGGAAAGATGACCGAGGAGCAGCTCGAGAAGCTGACGGTGCGGCTCCGCACGATGAGCCCCGAGGATCTGGCAGAGTTCGCCTCTGGCATGAAGGTCGTGAGGGAGACGGAGTCGCAGACGGACGGGGAGGCTGCGGCAGCGCCGGCGCACGCCCAGCCTGCGACGGGTGCGGAGGCGCCCAAGAAAGTGAGCGCACTCGTCGACTGAGAGCAGGTTTTTCGAGCTGGCAGAGTTGCTGGCGCTGCTCGAACCACGTCTCACCACTGCCAGGGGCATGCGCTCCAAGACGGGAGCGTCAGTGTGAGCCGCAGCCTGGCGGGCGTCGCGACAGTGTCGCGGAGCCGTGCCAGGTGGCGCTGCTTATCTCCTAGGTTCCATCATGTTCCGTTGGATTTTTTCAAAACCAGGGGGTGGTGTGGCGAGCTGGTCCTCGCTCGCGCCCCCGACAGGCGCGCTCGCGCGCCGCGGCTGCGCCGCCCGTCGCGGCGACGGCTCCCGCCCGAGTGCTCTGCGCGCGGATGCGATCGGCGGGCTCTGTGAAGTTCCAAAACAGATTCTGGTCTCCATGGTGTCGACTGCGCCGTTGACCTGCCAGCACCGCTGTAGCGCACGTTCTCTCCGTGCTGCTGCTGCTTCTCGGCCCACCGAACGCATTGCTCTCTCAGGGATTCACCTCGCCCTTCAGCAGCGGGACGTTTCTGGCACGCGGGTGGAATTTCGGCGCGCCGACGTGTATGTTCGCTCCTCCAGCCCCCACCCCCATCTTCCATCCCTCGTGCCCCGCTCCTTCGCCCCTCTCCATTTCACCCTCAGCCGGTGTGCTCGTTCCTGTTTCCCCACCACCCCCTCCCCCTGCTCTCCCCGGCTGATGCGGCACGCCCCTCACACGGTGCGTGCCCCACCGGGAGCTGTCGCCAGCATGCGGCCACCCGAGACTTCTCCTCCTCCTCCTCCCTCCTCCTCCTCCTCCCTCCTCCTCCTCCTCCTTCCTCCTCCTCCTCCTCCTCCTCCTCGTCCTCCTCCCTCCTCGTCCTCCTCCTCCTCCTCCTCCTCCTCCTCCTCCTCCTCCTCCTCCTCCTCCTCCTCCTCCTCCCCCCACACGGGCCGTGCCCCAAAGGGACCGCCTGACACGGCCCCAGGGGGGGCGCCCGCCTTCGGCCGCGCGGGCCCGAGTCGGCAGAGTCCTCAGACGATTGGTGCCCCACAGAGGGGGGGCGGCCATGCGAAGCCAATTTGTGCCATCAGTCGGGGGCGGAAACGAGGGGGGTGATGACTAGGGGGGGTGGATATCATGGCGCGGGCCATGATATTTCCCCAGATCTCATGGCGCCCCTTCTTATTTCATTACGTCCCTGGCCCCCCCGCTGGGCCGCGCACATGCCGCCGGTCATGATTTGCACCCCCCCTCTTGGACACCCCCCTCTTGGCCGCTCCCGAACAGAGCGGGGGCGGCCGCATGCGGCCATGCGAAGCCAATTTGTGCCATCAGGGGAGGGCGACCCTTTTGCGGTTTGTCAGGGGGCAGCTCTGCGCATATTCTGAGGCCCTGAGTTGGGACCGGTTGCCGCTGTGGTTGCAGCTCCATGCAGAGAATCTATGCACAGACGAGGTGTTTGTGTGTGTGTGTGTGTGTGTGTGTGTCAGAACTTTTGTTAGGGGTGGAGACCAACGCATCGTCTCCAACCCAGGGCAAATCGAAGCGCTCTTGTCCCAGCGGGATCAGACAGGATAATGCTATGTGCTGTGGACTTTGCGCCCGTGGGACCCTCTGCTTCCGTATCTTCCACCATAATTATCTCATCGCCTTTGAGCGCACTAGTAGAGGGGGGTGTTCGTGTGGGCTCAGACTTCGGGTTTGACCGCTCCAAACCCGCGTTTGTGGCAGTGGGGGGAACAACTGCTCTGCCGCTGGATCTCGACTACCCGTATTCTTCTTCTTCTTCTTCTTCTTCTTTTTCTTGTTATTCTTTGTCTCTCTATTAACTATTCTCACTTTTTCAGTCTGAGCATTCTTCTTCTTATTGAGTCGCTTCGCTCATTCCGCCGGCCCATATTGCGTGCCGTTGTTGACTGACCGAGTGGTCTTTCGCGGTGTGGAGCTGCAGGGGCGGCGGCTGTTTTTATCAGGCTTTGCGTTCGGCATGTGAGGCTTCTTGGTGGCCGCTGGGGGAGTCTTGAAACGCGTCGCGGGCCGTCTGGAAGCGTTTTGCCTAAGGGGACTCTTTCGGGAGGCCTCTTGGTGGCCTCGTGGGGATTCTTGAACGCGTCGGGTCGTTGGCACTTGCTTGCGTGCTCGGGGGGGCATTTTGGGGGGCCTCCTGGGCCCGCTTGGGGGCCTCTTGGGGACCTCCTGAAGGCCTTTTGGGGGCCTCTTGGGGCCTCTTGGGGGCCTTTTGGGAACTCCTGCGGGCTTCTTAGGGCCGAGGGCTCCACATGTTGTTTCGTGTTCCCCCCCTGAACTTCTCTTGGGGCGCTCTTGAGGCCTTCTCGGTCCGTCTTGGAGGCCTCTTGGGCCGTCTTGGAGCCCTCTTGGGCCGTCTTGGGGCCCTCTAGGGGGCCTCTTGGGCCCTCTCGGGGGGGTCTTGGGGGCCTCTTGGGCCGTCTTGGGGAAGCCGAAAAGGTGTAAACGCCCAAATCTCTTCAAAACCTAAGCTCTTGGGGCCCTCTTGAGAGTGCTCTTGGAGGCCTCTTGGGCCGTCAGGGGGCCATCTTGGGCGTCTTGGAGCGATCTTGTGGCATCTCGGAGCTCTCTTGTATCATCTTGAGGGGCTCTTGGCGACTTTTTGGCCTTTCTTGGGGTTCTCTGGACGGCCCCGAGGGCGACGCCCAGGAGGAAAACCATCTCTGACCCGAGTCGCTCGGGACCTGCCAGGGTACTTTTCGTCCGGGGACCCCCAGGGGCCGCCCCGCGCGCGCGAAGCAAAAAATATTGCAAAGCAGTTACCGGAGATCCTAGCATGCCTCTGGCCCGTTGGGTCAGCGAATTCTCTGTGTTATTCTTCTCCTCCTCCTCATCACCATCATGATCATCACTACCACCATCAGCATCATTATCATGATCATGATCATGATCATGATCATGATCATGATCATCATCATCATCATCATCATCATCATCATCATCATCATCATCATCACCATCACCATCACCGTCACCCTCATCATTATCAGCAGCATTATCACCATCACCATTATCACCATCACAATCATCATCATCTCGGTCACCATCATCATCATCATCATCATCATCATCATCATCATCATCATCATCATCATCATCATCATCATACTCATCATCATAATCATCCTCATCGTCATCATCGTCGTCGTCATCATCATCACCATCATCATGACCATCATCATTGTCATCGTAGTCATCATTTTCACCATCATCAGCATCATCGTCATCGCCATCGCCATCATCATCAGCATCATCATCTTCATTACCGTCATCATCATCACCATCATTACCATCATCATCTTCGTCATCATCACCATCACCATAATCATCAATATCATCATCTTCATCATCATCTCCCTCATCATCAACCTCATGAGTATCATCATCACCACCATCTTCATTGACACCACCACCATCGTCATCACCATCCTCATCGTCGTCGTCATCATCATCACCATCATCATGACCATCACCAACAACAACAACATCGGCACAATTCATCATCATCATCACCATCACCATCACCATCATCACCATCACCATCACCATCACCATCACCATCACCATCACCATCACCATCACCATCACCACCATCATCATCATCACCATCATCATCATCACCATCATCATCATCATCATCATCTTCATCATCATCATCATCATCATCATCATCATCATCATTCATCATCATCATCATCGTCATCATCATCATCATCATCATCATCATCATCATCATCATCACCACCATCATCATCATCATCATCATCATCATCATCATCATCATCATCGTCATCGTCATCGTCATCGTCGTCGTCGTCGTCATCATCAGCATCAGCATCAGCATCATGCTCTCTCTTAGTTTCCCCTCTCTCTGCGCTTCGCGGTCGTTGCAGCTGTTTCTCCCAAGCCACCCTCGCGACCCCCTCGGCGGGCGCCTTTTGCAGGCGCTCGCTCAGGCGGCCTTTGAGGGGGCGGGTTGGGCTGCTCTCGTCCGAGGCCTGCGAGCCGCGCTCCACGAGCGGCCCGCAGGCCAGCCTATCCCCTCGCTCGCGGTCTTGGCGCCCCCTCCGCGGGGACGCCGCGGCCCGCACCGGCCGACCTGAGCGGCGGTGGGCACTGCCCCCCTGCCGCCTGGGGCGCGGCCTGCCCCGCCGTCCGCCTCGGGGCCGGCGCTGGACCCGAGCAGCGGGGTCACCCCTGCGCTGCCCTCGACGGTTGTGGCCCTTCTCGGGCCACGGCCGCAGGCACCTCCAAGGTCCCTTCCCTGGGCTGCCCGCAGGCACTGCACAAGTGCCTTCCCCAGCGCGCCCGCAGGCACCTCCAAAGTGCCTTTCCCGGGCTCCCCGCTGGCACCTCCCAAGTGCCTTTTCCTGGGTTCCTGGGCCGCGGCCACGGCCACGGCCACGGCGGCCACAGCCACGGCCGCTTGCAGCCTTTGTGGGGGCCGCTGCATCGGCGCCCTCGTGGCCCGCTGGTTGGGATTGGGGGCCTCGGTGCCCTGAGCGGGCACGGTCGCGGCGCGCAGCGCGCCCCGGCCCACGTTCGAAGGAGCTCGGGCCGAGGAGCGCGCGCGGGCCCTCTCGCGAGGCCCGCCCGCTGCCGCGCTGCGAAGGTTCGTCCCCTCTGGTGGCCCCCGGGTCACTCGGCGCGCGCTGCCGGCAATGGCAGCCGATGCCTTGGCAGCTGGGGGACTTGCCATCATTTTTTCATATGCAGCGGCAGCGTCGGGCCAGCCGCGCGCCGACGGCGCGCGCCCGGGCCCTCAACTCCCGCAGCACGGGCGCCCTACCTCTCTGCAGAAGAGTGGAAAGGGGGAGCGGCAGGTGCGCCCGTGCGGGCCGTCTCCCGTTTGGTAGAGGTCTTTCACTCCCCCCCTGTTTGGTTCGACCTGCGCCCGTTCGCTGCGCCGTCGGCCGCCAAGTTCGGCCGCTGCCGCTGGGACGAGGGCGGGGTACGCTATGTACGCCGCGATCCCCCTGGCTTCGCGCGCGGCCTGGGGGCATCCTGCCGGCGCTGCCTGGGTCCTTCCGCTCGGCCGACGGCCTCAGTCTGGCGGAGGCAGAAGGATTCACAGGGCTTGTGGGACCCTGTCAAGTGGTCAACTTGCCCTTGCTCGGCGCGGCTTCTCGCCCGCGGAGCACGACCGCGTCCGTGCTGTTGGTCGACCTGGGGGTCTCGGAGATGGCTCTCGAGGCTCTCACCCCGTTGGGCGGGGGAGGCAGCGACGGGCGTGTCCCGTTCGGGTCGGCCCGTGGCCGTGCGTACTGGCCGCGCCCAGCGGGGTCTTCGCCCTTCGAGATGGCGACGTGGCCATCCACGGCGCGCCGACCGTCGAGGGGGGCGAGGCTGCTCCGGGCGCCGAGAGGGCTACCCGGTATCAGTCTGCGAGCGAGTTCGGGGCGGGCGGCCCAGAGGACGACGCCGAGGCCGACGACCTCCCTCCTCTCGCGGCGCGGGCTCCCCGCCGCCAGAGGTGCCCCCCCGTGCCGGCGCGAGGCCGCCTAGGTGCGCGG